CATGAGGACCCTGGAGCACATCACACTGAGTGAAAAGTCTCAGTTACATAAGGACAAATACTGCAAAACTCCACCGTAATGAAGAGGTTTTAAGGAACTCTGGTGGCCTACTGCTAAGAAGCTGTGCTGCAGTCCTGAAGGCAAACCATCAGACTCCACCAGCTGCTTCGTGGGAGAAGGATGGGCAACCTCCTGTGTGATTTATTGTCTTTGAAAATCCAAAGAAGGGTCAGTTATGGATCAGAGCTGACTGAATGGTACACAAAAACAACAACAATGCTGAGGTTTTAGTCTTTTATTTACCAAAATATATGAAACCCACAAATAAATCAATTATGTTTGCAATATGTCATAAGAAGATTGTTCCCTTGTCCCCTTGTGTTTTGTTTTTGTTGTTCTTTTTTTGTTTGTTTGTTTGTTTGGGGTTTTTTTAGTACTTTGACCTAAAGCTGTTGGGTGGGAAAATCTCTTGAGAACAGACTTCCTACTGGATGCAATAGTAACTGTGATAACTGGTGTGTGACCTTTGGTGTGGGACTGGGGGCTTCCAGCACAGTCCTGGCTCGGTCTGCTTGAGCACAGATGCTCTCCACTGAGTGTTCAGAAACACAGAGAAAACAGGCCAAAAGCGTGAGGCTCCTGGCTCTGCATATGTTCACAGGGTGAAGGTAGAACATTAGACTTAATTGCTTTCAGGTCATCCAAACCGAGTAGCATTTAGAGACTCTGCATATGGATTTCGTTTCCCTGTTTGATTGTTAGGGCTTCCAGAGGCATCTGTGAACACTTGTGGAGACGGAATGAACATAGGCCACTGTGACATCGCTTTTAGAGATAAGAGGGAAAACAGAATTTGGAGTGGAAATGTCAGAGGTGTAAACCTTGGGTTTGATTGTTCGTTTTGTCACTTAGTGTTACGAATTGTTTTATGTCCCTCAGGTATATGTGTCATCAAAATTAATCTTTAGGCCTATGGTGTTTAGAATGCTGTGTTTTGTTTTACTTAAGTTAATTATTTTCTTTCTTATGTTAACGAGACAGAAATAAGGTAAGCCTGTGTTTTGAGTCAAATTCCTTTTGAGAAACAAAAGAGATTATGAGTGAAAGAAGCTGGGGGGGGGGGGTGTAGAAGCAAGATGCCAAACCAAATAAAGATCTCTCAGTTGTAAAAACTGAAAAAAAACCCCAAACCCCCAAAACTTATGGATTTTCCTCCAGAACTTACACAGAGAGGAGTCCCTCTTGTTGAGCAACAGCTCATGTGCCATCGAGCCGCCTGGAACCCATAGCGACCCTAATGCTGAGCATCTCTAAACCACGCTCTGCCCTGAGCCAGCTTTACTAACTTCGACACATCAACTCCTATTGCCCCAGTTACCGTATCAATCCATCTCATCTGGGTTCTTCCTCTCCTGTGCTGTCCCTCCCCCCTTCCAAACATGATGTCCTCCTTCTCCAAGGACCTGTCTCTCCTGGCCATTTGCCCAAAGTATGTGAGATGGAGCTTTAAAATCCTAGCATCCCTGGAAAAACTTGATTTAACCTCTCCAAGACAAAATTATTTGTATTCCTGGCAGTCCATGGTATGTTCAAGACTCTTCTCCAGCACTACAATTCAAAGGCATTGATTCTTCTGTCATTGTTAGTCAATTGTCCAGCTCTCTGAAGCATAACAAGTAATTGCAAAGACCATGGCCTGTAGACTGACATCGTTGCTTTTTAGCACTCTGGAGAAGTCCCTGACAGCAGATTTTCCCAATGCAATTTATCTTTTGATTTCTTGCCTTCAGTATGGATTTGATCTTAACATCAAGAAATAAAAAAATCTTGACTAATGCAATTTATCTTTTGATTTCTTGCCTTCAGTATGGATTTGATCTTAACATCAAGAAATAAAAAAATCTTGACTAATAGGAAACATGATGATAGATGGAGAAAAGATTGAAACTGTCCGTGTTTCATTTTACTTGCATCCACAATCGACACCTACAGAAATAGAGTCAAGAAATCAAAAGACATACTACATTGGGAAAATATCTTGTCACAGACTTTGTTAAAGTGCTGAAGAGAAAGAATATCAATTTAAAGACTAAGGTGTACCTTGTCTAAGCCTCATTATTTTCAATTGCTTGCTATGCATCTGAAAGTTGGACAATGAATGAGGATGACAAAATAAAAATCTGTCTTTGAATTGTTTTATTGGTGAAGAGCTTTGCATATACCATGGGCTGATAAAGGAATAAAGAAATCTGTCTTGTTGGAAGTACAACCAATATACTTACTTCTTACAGTCAAAGATGGTGAATTTTTTTTCTCATACTTTGGACATAATGCTAGGAGGGGATAATCCTTGGAAAAAGACTTCATGCTGGGAAAAGTTGGGGGTCACCAAATAAGAGAAAGACTCTCAAGGAGACACTTTGACACAGTGACTGTAACAATGGCCTTGAGTGTATTAGAGATTGTGAGAATGGCACAGCATGGGTTGTGGTTCTGATCTATTATGATTAGATTAACTATGAGTTGTAGCGGACTCACCTGCAAATTGTTGTTGTTGTTATGTGCTGTCGAGTTGCTTTGCAGGAGAAAAGATGCGCAATCTCCTCCTGTTTGATTTATTGCCTCTTAAACTCCACTCTAGAGGCAGCTATGAGTGTGCTCTGACTTGATAGCATATAACAACAGTAGCAATTTGCTTTCATGCTAATTCTTCTACTGACTCCATATTAGCAATAGAAGACTACTTTGATGTGACCATCTGAACACTAGGGTAGGATCAGTTTAGAAATCGTGCAGTACATACCATTCACAGATTATGCATCTCATCTTACTCTAGGTGGGGCCACTTGTCTGAACACTTCCTCTCTAATCTTTCAATGACATCAAAATACTATCTTCATGTTCAGCAATAGTCACTATTGCAAGAACATGGAAACATCCCAGATGTACAGCCACATTTGAATGGATTGAGAAATTATGGTACATTCACACAATGGAATACTACAAAGCATGCAGGAATAATGATTTTATAAATTACACCTAAGTTGGGAGGGACTGAAGAGCATTATGCTGAGTAAACTAACTCAGTCCCACAAGGATAAATACTGTATAAAACCATTATTGTAGAATGAATAGGAAGATCCAAGGTGGCGAGTGGTGGAAGCAGAGTGACGAGGATGTGTGGGAGGAGGCGAGATTAATCACTTAAAGGGGGGTTGTACAATTTGATGGGTGAGGGGGTGAGGGAAATTGGAAGAATGTGGTCTGGAAAACAATCTATTAGAAGTTTGTAAATAAACTAGTATAATAAAATATACTATCTTTTACTTGGACTATAAATATAATAAGACCATTCTTTTAAAATATGAGAGAGAACAAATTAGTCCAGAGATGAGCATAAAAATACTGGAAGGGCTCCAACTAGTACTGATCTGTGTTACTCAGGTCTCTCCCTTGGCCCCTGCCTGTAATGTTTTACTCACTTCGAAAGTGCACAAGACAGTGAGATTTCCCCTCCTCTGATTTAGAACTGAACGACTTTTATTATTTTCCCAGGGAAGCAAAAGGGGTAAATCGAGGCATAGATGTTACATGGAACAAAGACATTTTTTCATGATAATCAGATCGATTGAGTGGGCATGTCATTATTAACATTTTTTAAAATGTTAAAATATATTTCAATTCAAATTAGGGTAAAAGGCTTGTGAAACTCTTAGCTGAGTTCTTTGGAACCCTACAGCCTTCATATTGACATTTGAAGTGTAGCCATCCACACAAATCTATAGCAATGAACTCTCCAGAGCTGTCTGAAACAGACCATAGATGCTGGGAAGGCCTCTGCAGGCTGGTAATTCCATTTTCTAGGATTGACACTGAAGCATGGTTAAGACTGAAGCATATATTTTCACAAATCTAAAATACCTACCTAGTCATGTTGTTGTTTTTTAAATTTTTTTTAACTTTTCTTTTTATTTGTTGGCGAACATAAATGTTAACAAAGTGACAGACTTGTTTTTTCCTCAAGTATATAACGAAAGACCAAAATGTTAACAATTCTCATCTAGTTTGACAATACTTATACTGGTTAGGAATATAAAACATCAAGTACAACATTATTACCAGGGCAAAAAACTATCAAGTAAACAACAATTAAGTTTTTTTTTCTCTTCGTGATTACATTCACAAGACATATCAACAATTCTCAAAACTCTTCAGACTCCACAAGGTTCACATTATTTTCATATTACTACAATAGATATTTAGATGAACAGGGACCAGAACAAGCAGAATACTGAATTTTTGAATATTCACACAAATCTTCATACAGTAGTGGGTCACAATGCAAAGTACGGAGGCACAGGAAAGCCAACGTGGTATCAGAATATTTGGCCTTTACCTCATTCAGACCTAACAGCCACCTGCCTATTCTGCCAGATAATTTAGCAGGGCAGATGGCCTGGGCCATGAATGGCAGCGGAAATACAGCTGATGCTGGTCTGGAATAACCAGTTTGAGTCGAAGGCTGATATCATGTTAGTTTCGTCTTTCATCTTGCAGTGGTAAAATACATGAGTTTGCCGTGAGTGAATGGGTATCAGGAGCACAGCAAGCATAAGGCATGAAGTCCAATGAGTTGCTTACAAAAGTTCTATCAAGCTTCCTTGAGGATTTCTTGTAGACATAAAAAAAAAATCTTGAGAGAAAAACATAAGTCACAGGCCAGGTCCAAGCCATGCAAAGGAAGGCAGTGCACTTCTGCAGCATCATGTGTTTGGCACATAGTGGTGCTAAGTCATGGGCTTCAGGCATGAAGGAAAGCAGTGGAAACCGAGCAGAAGTAAAACAGCATAGGTGCTGAGGTGGCAATCTCACAAATGCCTGTTGAAAATTTAGAAGTCCAGTATGGAGAAGACAGCAGATGTCTGCATGCTGTTGGCTAAACAGGGGTCCAAGGCTTGGTGGTAAAGAAATGGGTAACTGATCTTCTCACAAGGGCAGGTTTAGCCAGACTGGAACCTCAATGACATAGGATTGTCCAGGGGCAGTCTTGCTGGGCCTTGCATTTCTCTCTGGCCACCTTCACTCCTCAGGTAATAATGCAGGGGATTGGGCCACAGTTCCTCTTTGATGACCTCAGCAATCTTCTCAAGTTTCAGGAGGCTCTTGTCGGAGAACCACTTGAAGAAGCTGGGAATGGCGTTTCCCTCACGGTTCCTGTGAACATGGGCCTCAGGGTCCTGGTTCAGGTGCCAACGGACAGGCGTGGCAAAGCACAGGATTTGGCCGGAGGCTCTGCGTTCGTAGTCTTTGACGAGTGTCTCGTTTCGGAAGTAAGGGTTGCTCTGGAAGATGAACCTGAATTTGAGGCCGGCTCTGGGCTGTTTCAGCTCCTCCACCTCCAAATTGCTCATGTATTTCAGCATATCTTCGTCTTGGCCACTGATCATCGGGGACAGCTGCGAGTGGTTCCTAAAGGCGGTGACCCAGAAAACGGGGATATTCTGGATGATGAAGCTCCGGCGCTGCATATGGAGCCTTCGCATCTGACCGAACTTGTGCTCCTGGAAGGCCCGATCGGCCGGGACCTTGACGCTGGACAGCTCCTGATCCACGGCCTCCAGCGAGGCCATGGTGCGGACCCTCGGCCCTCTGCCCCCCTCCTCCGCTTTCGCCTCCCCTGCGGCCTTTCTTTCCCTCAGCACCATCTTCTTGGCCTCCACGACCCCCTCCGCTTCTCCCTTTTTTCCAGCCAGCGCAAAGAAACCCATCTTTTTCGTGGTCCCGTCCTTGGCCTTCGCGCCGCCCACCACGGGAGCCCCCAGGCCTACCGCGCCGCAGGCCTCCGGGGCCTTCCCCGCTGCAGGCCCGCGCAGCTCTCCGCTCGGCCGGCCATTCTTGGGGCTGCAGTCGGACGGCGGGGAGGCGAAGGTCACTTTCCGACGGACGGCCGGAGCCTTCTCCTGCACAGGTTTGGTCGGAGCCGGGTTGTGAATAATGGGCACGCGAAAGCGGAGGGCAAACCCACAGTCGGAAGGAGCGGCGGTGGTCTCCAGGGGAACTCCGGCCACGTCGGCTTCCTTCCGGGGTCTCCGGGACTGCGGGGAGTCCGCGTCGCCCTGGTCCCGGCTTTCGGAGAAAGCGGGCTTTTCATTGCCAGCCGGGTCACTCATTTTGGTAGAAGTCAGAAAACCCGCAGAGAAGCGACCCTTGTTCTGGTCTTCTCTGTACGCGGAGCTCCGCCGGCGTCATGTTGTTTTATAAGGCTGTCACTCAAGACATTTGCGTCACTTTGCATCACTAATTACAAGGGAGGGATAAGCCACATTGCATAGACTTATTTGAACCTTGCAATTAGCCTTTTATATGCTGTGTGGACACAGTCTTAGAAAAAGTTCTATCTGTGAAGTAAGGGGGAAATTATTCTTGTATCCACAATTCAGCATATCACGACAAGCGTGCTGGGATCCTTGACAAAAAGTCTAGCTAAACCAGAAAATCAAATGATGCATGAAGCACAGTGAATCCTCCAGCGGTCTGGTGTATTCGGAAGTGTGACCTTGTGTGACCTATATTATACTGAACATCTATTGAAGTAATGGACACCTCTTAGCTTTCTTTTTTACAACTAGAAGTGAAGACACAAATTCATCTCTCAAAATCCAGAGAGCAGTCGTGTGAATAAAACACAATACTGCCATCACCAAATTTTGTTTTCTTATTGAATGTATTCAGTATAAACCTCGGCTGTATTTTAAATTGTATTTACTCTTCTTGAAGCGAGGAGTGGCATGCCTCCATCCAGACCTGGGTCTGTTTCCACGTGTGGGGACTATATTTTTGCTTGTTTGTTTTGTTTTATAATGTGAACTTCACTGAATGCATACAATTTATTTTGCTTGGGTCCATTTGCCTGTCACTTTTTTCTCCTTAAAATGGATGATGCTGGGAATTCAGGAAGCATATTTCAATCTGTAACGAGATTTTACAATGTGACTTTGAGCGTCCTGACATAGGCTATGCAGAGCTTTATGTTTCTAGCTGTTTGCTGCAAATTTGTGGTAACATAGCAGATATTGTACATTTAGCTTAAATCTACTCAGCCCATTTTGTAGGGAAGGGAGATAATTTTAAAATTATCTTAGGTTGGAAGAGTGCAAAGTGATTTAGTTTAATTTCTGAAACTTAAGTAGTTTCATAAAAATGTTTCATTGTTCTTTTTACTAGCCAAAGTGTTGGGTGGCAGAGTTCCATGGGGGTAATTTAGAAGGAAGAGGAAAAAAAGAAGCATTCCATAATTCTTTAAATCCAGATGGTCCCTAAAGAATGGGAATTTGTTTTAAGAGGCTGGTAGAAATTTTCATGCTAGTTTCAAGAAAAATTTTAAACTGAGATTTGTGGAAAAAAAACCCCTTTCGTATCACTTATTCTATAGCATTTAAATGCTACCTGGAGTTGCAGTTATTAACTCTGAGAAGCCTCTGTTTCTCATTTCCTTTTATTCTTGACTCCTATATTCCAAACTTTTCTCTTTAGTCCAAATTGCCAAATGGTACCTCTTTGTTACTTGATTTTAATTTTTCTGTGTAACAAGGGTCCTCTGGTGGCTTGGTGGTAAGGAGTTGCCCTCCTAGTGCATATGTCCATGGTTCTAATCCACCAGCTGCTCTGCAGCAGAAAGATGGGAAATTTCCCCTGTGGTTTACTGTCTCTGAAAACCCACTTAAAAATCAGTTATGAGTCAATTCCAATTTAATAGTACATAACAATAGCAACAACACATGTTAGGAAAAGATCTCAAACTTTGAATTGGGGTCCAGGGCCTTACTTTGCTACGTATACGATTTTGAGAAGCTCAGCGTTTTTGTGAGAGCATAGGCGTGTGAGATATAACTATGCCTTTAAAAGTGTAGTGTATAAAGGAGGTCTTTTTTTTTCTCATTGCTGCCAAATGAGAACCAACTCATAGCTGACTATGCAGTAGGTTTTTAGAGGCTATAAATCTCATGAGAGGAGATTGCTTATCTTTCTCACTAGAAGATGCTGCTAGATTTAAACCAGTGTTTTGGGTTGACAGTGCAACACCTCACCCATTACACAACCAGAGTTTAAATATTAGTGTTCTTGATTCCTATCCTCTCTGTGAGGTGAAATCCAGTAGAGAGATGTAGAAACAAAGCAGAGCCAGTGAATTTTAAAAAGTGTGGTATGATTTTCCTGGTATTATTCAACTTGCTTATAGCAATGCTTTTCAAAAAGAACTCATATTCTAATGGCACCTAGAATGAGTACATTGTTGTTGTTCGTTGTTATGTGCCGTCGAGTCATTTACGACTCATAGAGACCCTATGTACAACAGCCCTAATCCCTGCTCTGTCTTGTGCTAATTGCACTGCCTCTAACACACCCATCCCGATTACCCCAGTCACTGAATCAATCAGCTCATAGAAGGTCTTCCCCTCCTGCGCTGTCCCTCCACCCTACCAAGCATGATGTCCTTCTCCAAGGACCTGTCCCTCCTTACAACATGTCCAAAGTATATCAGACGAAGTCCTAGAATCCTTGCCTTCAAGGAGTAGCCCAGTTTAACCCTCTCCAGGCTGAATCTGTTTGTTTCCTTGGCAGTCCGTGGTACATTCAATACTCTTCTCCAGCACCACAGCTCAAAGGCATCAATTCTCCTTCTATCCTCACTAGTCATTGTCCAACTTTCTGATGCATAACAAGTGATTGCAAAGACCATAGCTTGTATCAGACACACCTTAATCTCCAGAGACACACCATTGCTCTTGAGTACTTTAGAGAGGTCCCTAACAGCAGACTTTCCCTTTGCAATACATACGTTATTTTCTTATTTCATGATTAATGAATGATTAATGTAATGAGTACATTAGTCATTCTTAAATGCAGTGTCATAAGAAAACTTAGTTCCACCATTGTGGATTAGCAAAGGACATAGTACAGCTCTGTAGAAATATATGTCAGGGTCAGAATAATCATGAATTGTTTCTTGATTCAGATCATGAGCCAACGATTTTACTTTGACCCATAGTTTTTCCCCAATACAATGTATATTTATACTTTTATCAAGTAAAACTTTAATATAAACATTGAAATGCTGAAAATCTGATTACATTGTCCTCCACTTTTCGGAACTCCTTTCAGTTGACAAATTTACCATCTTCACCTTTCCTCTGTTAATTTAGCCTTTGAAGGAAAAATCCCATGTGGCTCATTCAGGATAGCAGGAACAACGTGTGGGTGGCCCTCACTGGGGGTGGATCATCCTTCTGACTTTGTTGGACTCATTCGGGCTCACCTGTAGGAGGAGGCCCGGTGAGTCAGCCTTTCAGCAGCAGTGGTGCCTGGTCATCTTTCCTGAAATAAGGCCAAGAATGCTAAATTTTGATGCTAAATATTATAAGGGTGAGGTTCAGCTGCAATGGACAACACAGAGCTGATTGTGTGCTGGTGCAGGCTGCGGAGTGGCCGTTTCATGGTTGGGTTCTTCCAGTTGTTTGTAACCACTGAACTGTTGCCATCTTGCAAAGGGAAGATGAATTACTAGGAGACTGACTTGCAAATAGTCAAGCCAGTCAGCCATGCAGACTCAGGCAGTTGAAAACGAAGGTCAGCACACGCCCTCCCTGGCAAGTGATGAAGGGTTTTGCAGCTCCGTGTCGTTTATATGAAGAGAACCGCACGCTGAAGGGAAGAGGAAAACAGTTGCTTAGTCAGGAAGGCCGAAATGTGGAATTCATAGGGATTTTGAAAGGAAACTTGACGATCATCTAATTCAACCTGTATCTTTTGTGCTTAGTGATATTGAGATAATGTGAGAGTTGAGATATTGGGCAGTTTTAGCTAGACTTACATCTGTTTAAATGGAGTTAAAGAGAGTTGTTGTTGTTGTTGTTGTTGTTGTTGTTAGGTGCTGTTCAGTCATAGACGACTCATAGCGACCCTACGATCAAAAGATCTGAGCACCTTCCATGGAGTTTCCGGAGGCAAGCCCTTTCAGAAGTGGATACCACTCCTGCTTCCAAGTTTGTCTTCATTGGGAAGCTCCACCAAACATTATGCACACCACTGGTAACCATTCTCACATTTGGCACATCAGTGTCACAGTATATTTAGCATCACAGCAACCACGAGTTACCTCTGTACAGCAATGCACACACCAGTGCTATACCACCGAGAGAACTGATGTTAAAACAAAGAATTCCAACTTGTAATTCAGTGTTCTGGTCAAACCCCTAAGGGGAAAAGTGTATTGCTAATCCGTACTCCCTTTACCTAAAGGTACAATTCAGAGAGGCTTATATTCTACCTTACTCCAAAGCCAGTGTGAAGAGACTGAGGAATGAATACACAATGCATGAAGAATAAAGCAGTCCTACAAGGACAGAACAAAACAGTCAGGGGATGTGGATGCAGAGGTAGACCTGGAGAAGTGCTCTCATATGCCTTTGAGAGGAAATGCACAGTCTTTAGTGAACATGTCAGACACATGCTCCAGTGCATATCTCTTTAGTATAACAATGCATGAAAAGCTATTATTTAGAACAACACCCGTGTTTGGCATATAGGAAAATGAAATATAGAAAATATGTTTATTGCTATTTTATTTTCACTTCGTGCAATGAGAGTGAAATGCATAGTGAAGTGCTAATGATATTCCCGGAGCAGAAGACAACATCAGCATGGTAGCAAGTAAGAAAGGACGTTTTGGTCATAACATTTCACCAGGAGGAATTAGACAAGAGACACATGCCCAACAGTTCCAGACAAGCCCTAACAAATGGTCTTATTCTGCATTTGAAACAATTTGCCTTTATTCCCATATTATTAAATTTGTCTAAGTAGTAAATAAAACCAAAATAAAATTTAAAAATAAAGGCTGACAGATTGTTTAAAAATGCTCTGTTCATCATGGAACTTATCTCATGTTTTCTTGAGCTATTTTTGGGGAAATACATACCATCAAACTATTTGAGATTGTATTCACTTACCTCAACATCAAGAAAACAAAGATTCTCACCACTGGGCCAATTGACAGCATAATGACAGATGATGAAGAGATTGAAGTTGTTAACAGCTTTAGTTTCCTTGACTTCACAATCAATACTCTTGGTACCAGCAGTCAGGAAATTAAATGATTTTTTTTTTTGTA